CGCACTAGCACCCCCAGGCTCAGGACCCCCAGCAGCAGCTCCTCCAGGCTCAGCACCCCCGCGGACAGCACCCCCAGAGTCAGCACCCCCAGGCTCAGCACCCGCAGCAGCACCAGAGTCACCAGTAACCTCGACCGGGTCAACGGCGTCTACCTGGGACACACCTGAGGGAGCAGGAACCTGAGGGGGAAGGGGGTCTACCGGGGGGGGGAACCGGCACAAGGAAGTCCGGGGGAGGGGGGAGGGAAGGGGTGCGGTAGGGGAAGAGACGGTAGAAGGGGACCGACTCGTCGAACGTGACGTCCTGGGAGGACAGAACACGACGAGAGGAGGGGTGGTAGAACTGCCACCCTGGGGCGTCAGTGGGGAAGCCAAGGAAGACACAGGGAGCAGCACGAGGGGACAGCTTGTCCGCAGACAAGTCGCGGACAAACGCCCGAGATCCCCAGACACGAAACACAGACGCATCGCCAACCTTCCCCGTCCACAGCAAGGCTGGGGACATCGCAGGCCTAGAGACCCGCGGGTGAAGGTTGAGCTGATGCGCCGCGTACCTCACCGCAAACGGCCACAGAAAATGGGGGGCAGCCGCATGCATCATGGACGTACGAGCGACATCCATGACCATGCCAATGCGGCGCTCAGCAATCCCATTTTGCTGTGGTGAGTCCGGAAGCGTGAAGGTCTGGCGGATCCCCCGTGCACGACAGTAGTCTCGCAGAAGGCGAGAGGAGAACTCTCCGCCTCTGTCCGAGTGCAGACGCAGAACAGGAAAGTCAGAGCCGAAGCTCTTCCTGAGTTGGAGACGAGCCTCGCGGATCCAGTCGATCAGCACCTCAGTGACAGCACCCTTGCTGCGCAAGGGGAGGACTGTGGTGTAACGCGAGTAGTCGTCAACCACCAACAGGAAGTAGCGCTCGTAACCCTGCCCACGGACGGGGGCCGGGCCCCACACATCCATGTGAAGCGTCTGCAGCGGAGCCTCTGTCGGGGGGAAGTGGGAGGAGTGAGGAGTAGCCCGGAGGCGACCCTCGACACAGGGGACACAGGAAGGCCCTGGCCCGGGGGGGGGAGGAGGGAGAGACCGGGGAAGACCAGAGACAAGGACACGGGAAGCCATGCTCCGAAGACGAGCCAAGGAGGGGTGGCCTAGACGGTGGTGCCACAGGAGAGTCTCGTGAGACAGGAGGCGACAGGAACAGGGGGCAGACTCAGGACCTGACCGGGACGCAGCAGCAAACACCTGACCTGACGCAGCTACCTGACCAGACACAGGGACAGGAGGAGACGAAGTGGTCAGGGTGTAGAGACTCGACCCCGGCCGACGCGAAAAGGTGGCCAGGTGTCGGCCTGTGTCTGCGTCCGTGCAGTGGGTCACCCGCCGACTCGCAGGAGTGAACTGGTGAACCCCCGCATCCTGTAGGTCCGCACCACTCACCAAGTTCGTAGAGAACGAGGGAATGTACAGACCAGACAGGGTGCCCGAAGGGGCAGCCGGACACGGGAGGACAGTGGAGAAGTGAGACAGGACAGGACCCCCAGAGGGGTCAGCAAGGGAGACCGCAACCGGCCGGCCAAGTGGCGTGAGGGTAGTGCGGTCTCGAAAGAAGGAGCGAGAAGCCCCAGAGTCAAGTGTGAAAGTGAGGGAGGACGAGGGCGACGCAGTACCTGAGAGCGCAGTCTCACCAGCACCTGAGAGCGCAGTCTCACTAGTACCTGAGAGCGCAGACGCACTGGCACCTAGAGCAGCAGCCTCACAAGTACCTAGTGCAGCAGTACCAATGCCCGGGTCGGGCTGGAAACACTGGTAACCCTCATACTCCTCACTATAAGTCACAGCATACATAGCAGAGAGGATAGCATCAACATCAAGATCAAAGATCGCTACACCAGCCCTAAGGAGCTCATCCCAGCGAGGGATCTCACTAGCCCCGGGGAACTGCTGACGCCAAGCGTCCGTCAGGCGGCCAAAGCAGCGCTGGGTGGAGTGGGCACCCCCACACTGCTCACCCGCGCGGTCGCCGGAACGAAGAACGTAGGCGCAGGGACCAGTACCCCCACCCCTCTGACGCGCAGTGTACCACTCACGAAGCTGCTGAGGCGGAGGGATGTCCCGCGAACGCTGCTGCTGCTGCCGCTGCGAGCGCTGGCCACCACCACCGCCGCTCCGCTGCTGGGTACCACCACGACCAGCTCCACCTCCTCCACCACCACCGCCTCCTCCGCCGCCGCCTCCACCGCCTCCACCTCCACCGCCTCCACCTCCACCGCCTCCACTCCCGCTGCTGCCTCCACCACCACCGGTGCCACCACCACCACCGTCTCCGCCGCTGCTGCCACCACCACCACCACCACTACCACTACTCCCGCCGCCACCCCCACTCCCTCCGCCGCCTCCGCCGCCACCGCCACCGCCCCCTCCAGCTCCGCCCGCGCCCTTGCCCCCCTTGCCCTTGCCAGAGCGACGTCTTCCACTAGGGGCAGACGCCGCGCCGACCGACTCAAGACCAAGCAGGTCGGCCGCAGCAGCAGAGGCAACAGAGGGCAGCAAGGGGGAAGGAGAGCACCCCTCAAAGATGGGGGTGCGAGGGTCACCACGAGAGGCACCGACAGCGACTATGCTCTTCTCCGCTGCGAGGAGGGCCTTCTCGAGGAGGTCGACGGTGAGAGTGGTGGGACAGACTGCGAGAAAGTGGTCCCTGACTACGCGGAGGGAGTCAGGGAGGCGTGCGACTACGTAGTAGAGAGTGATGTACATGGGAGGGGGGTTCTTAGCGCAGAACTCAGCAGGAAGGGCGGCGCGGTAGCGAGCGTCACTAGTGCGGAGGTGCGTAATGAGGTCAGCGACAGTGGGAAAGGCAGAGAGGTCAGGAAAGAGGTAGGGAAGCATGAGACGGCTCAGTGCAGCAGTGGCAGGAGAGGAGTAGCGTGCAACTACAGCGTCGTACAAGGTCTGAGCACTCTTGTACTGACTAAAATGCGCACGCTCAGAGGTAGGGAGGTGGCGACGCACAGCAAGACGTGCAGCAGCATCGCGGGTGGCCCACTGAGAGCGGACAGTGGGATCAGCATCGGCAGCAGGAGCAGGAGAGGCGCCAGAGGTGAGGTCAAAGAGAGAAAGGCTGTCAGCTCTGTCGCACTGTAAGAAAAGCTGCAGGTCATCTAGCCAGACCTCAAAATCAATGGCGCGACCCTCGGCGTCAAAGGCTAGGACACTAGGGGTGGCCATGATGACGACAGCGAAGCAGTGCAAGCAGTAGGGAAAGAGGGCGCAGTGACAGAGGGACTGTGCTCACCAGGCAGGGCAGGCCGTGCAGCTCGACAGAAAAGCGGAGCGGCGACCGGGCGGCTCGGGTGTACAGCTGCTCAGCTCCCGGGCGGCTCGGCGGCAGGGCGGCTCGGGTGCAGGGCGGCTCGGCTCCCGGGCGGCTCGGCGACGGACGGCTCGGGTGCAGGGCGACTCGGCTCCCGGGCGGCTCGGCGACTGGGCGGCTCGGCTGCCCGGCCGCCCGACTGCTGCAGGTGAGGCGGCGGGGTCGCGTGAGAGGACCGGGGCGGGGCCGCGAAGGGGCTGGCGGTAGGGCCGCGTAGGAGCCGGGGCAGGGCCGCGTTGGAGCCGGCGGCAGGGCCGGTGGTAGGGCCGGCTTAGGAGCCGGGGCAGGGCCGCGTTGGAGCCGGCGGCAGGGCCGCGCAGGGGTCGGCGCAGGGCCGAGCAGAGGCCGGCGGCAGGGCCGCGTAAGGAGCCGGCGGACAGGGCCGTGAAGGAGCCGGGACAGGGCCGCGTAGGAGGCCGGCGCGGGGCCACGTAAGGGGCCGGCGCTGGGCCGCGTAAGGGGCCGGCGGCGGGGCCGCTTAAGGGGCCGGCGGCGGGGCCGCGTAAGGGGCCGGCGGACAGGGCCGCGTAGGAGCCGGGGCGGGGCCGCAATGGAGCCGGTGGCGGGGCCGAGTAGGAGCCGGGGACGGGGCCGCGTAGGAGCCGGCGCGGGGCCGCTTAGGAGCCGGCGCGGGGCCGCGTAAGGGCCGCGTAAGGGGCCGGCGCGGGGCCGCGTAAGGGCCGCGTAAGGGGCCGGCGCGGGGCCGCGTAAGGAGCAGGCGGCGGGGCCGCGTAAGGGTCAGGGCGGGGCCGCGACAGAGTGGGCGGCGAGGCCGCAGGGGAGAGGGCGACTCGAGGGGTCGCTTAAAAAAAAAAAACACCGCGCCTCGGGGCGCGCTTCGGTGGGCCCAAAAAAAAATCGGTCCTGGAGGGACCTAGCTCTATACCATGTGAAACAGTGAGAAGAGGAATGAAATGACTAAGTCAGAAATGGGTACAAATAACAAACCCTAGGAATCTGTACCCCATATGTGCTACCCCACTACAGCCTACAAACATGTATCAGCTATAATGTTCTGACAGGTACAACCCAATTAGGGTTAGTACTTGTACCCAACTGTTTCATAGTTCATTCATTCCATTCTCACTTCTCGTCAACCAATGCATTACAATAGCTTTGCGATTAACAAGCTGTTACCAACATTTATTGTATTTTTAACTCAGCAAAATAAACAAACAAGATTTGACGTTAACGTCGGAAGGGTTGCGTAGCTGTTATATCTTTAGTTGACAAAAAAAAAAGATATACGGTATAGAGCGCCAAGTTCAACTTTTCCCGTATTTAATGAATATGGCAAGCTCGTTAGTTCATAATGATGCAACTTAATACTATTAACGTGGATTTTATGTTCCATAGTTTAAAAATAGGTGAAGATTTAGACACAGATTTTTTGTAACTTTGTGAACAATGATAATCTCTATGCTAAAAATGATATTTTGTAACATGGCACTATGAGGTTCTTGCTAGCAAAAGTGTGGTTCATAGTGAGTTGGTTCTAGCTCACTCAAATGTTTCAGCTAGCTGGATGTACCACGTGATGATGCGTGTGTTCACGTGGATACTAGTCTGTTTTTGTTTCCAAGTGCCCAAGTTTTGATCAAGTTTTCAGATCGACCCAAGTGTTTTATGCAGGTGTACAAAACTCCTCTAATTTCCCAGCTCCTTCAATTTGGTTACTTTAGTTACTGCCCCACCTCCCTTTCCCAAACCAACCCAACAAACCCACCTCATCATTGCCTCTCCTCCGCGGACCCCCACCCACCTGTTGCCTCTCTCTCTCCCACCCACCCAGCTCATCATCGCCTCTCCCTCCCACCCACCCAGCTCCCCCCCACCCCGCCGTCCACTCTCTTTCCCTCCGCGCAACCCCCTCTCCCTCCCACCCGCTGTCGCTTCTCCCTCCCATCCGCCGTCGCCGCTCCCTCCCTCCCGCCGTCGCCGCTCCCTCCTCCCGCCGTCGCCGCTCCTTCCCACCCGACCGTCACCTCCCCCTCCCCTCCCGCCGTCGCCTCCCCGTTCCTCCCGCCGTCGCCTCTCCCTCCTCCCCGCCGTCGCCTCTCCCTCCTATCCGCCGTCGCCGCTCCCTCCTATCCGCCGTCGCCGCTCCCTCCCATCCCACCGTCGCCTCTCCCCCCATCCCGCCGTCGCCTCTCCCCCCATTCCGCCGTCGCCTCTCCCTCCCATCCCGCCGTCGCCTCACCCTCCCATTCCGCCGCCGCCTTCGGCGACAGGTCACGAGCAAGCTGGTGCGCGAGTGGGAGCTGGTGCGCGAGCGCGGGTTGGTCTCTGCACCGTGAATTGCAGGTGCGTTTACCCTTCCTGGTCCTTTTTCCCTCCCTTCCCCCTACTGGAAGTTCCTATATTTCCGATTTTTCCTTATCTTATTTGTAGTTTCTGTGTGTTGATTGGTCTCTTGCGTTGCACTACCATTTGAAGAGGGGGAAGAGGGAGCGCGAGGGAGCGAGAGTGCAGGAGAGTGCGCGCGTGAGAGCGAAGGAAGCACTAGAGGGAGATAGAGTGGCAGAGCGTGCAAGAGGGAGAGTGGGAGGGAGAGGCGCGAGAGAGAGAGAGCGCCGTGCGCGCTTGCGCCGTCGGCGCGGGCGCCATTGGCGCTTGTGCCTTAGCCGCTTGCGCTTATGGCGCTGCGGCCGTGGGCGCAAGCGCCGTGGGTGCTGGCGCCTAAGGCGCTTGCACATATTGCGTAGACGCCGTGGCCGCTTGCGCCTAAGGCACTTGCGCCATGGGCGCTGGCGCGTAAGGTGCTTGCGCTTAGGGCGCTGGCGCCGTGGGCGCTTGCGCCGTTGGCGCGGGCTCGGTGGGTGCTAGCGCCTAACGCGCTTGCGCTTAGGGCGCGAGCGCCGTGGGTGCTGCCCCATGAGGCGCTGGCGCTGTGGGCGATTGCGCCGGGGGCGCTGGTGCAGTGGGGCGCCGTGGGCGCTTGCACTTAGGGTGCTGGCGCCTTGGGCACGGGCGACGTGAGGGCGAGACTTGGATGTGCACGTGCACTTGCGGGTGAGTGCGGTTGTGAAGGCAAGGGCAAGTGCGAGTGCGAACGAGAGAGCAGGTTCGAGCGTAAGCGCGAGTGTGAGTGCGAAAGCAATTGTGGGAGTGAGTGCCAGGGCGAGTTTGAGGGTGAGTACGAGTGTGAGTGTGTGTGTGAGTGCAAGGGGGAGTGCGAGGGTCCGTTTGAGTGTGTGCTAGGGTGATTACGAGGATGAGTGCAAGAGTTTGTGTGTGTGTTTCTGTGATTGTCGAAGAAGAGTTGAGAGTACATCACATGTGTTTGAGTGAAGAGTGAGTGCAAGAGTGAGTGCGATGGTGAGTTTGATGATGGCTGCGATGTTGAGTGCAAGCGTGAGCGCGGGTGTGAGTGCGAGGGTGTGTGATGGTGTGTGAGGGCAAGTAGAAGAGTGAGTGCGAGTGTGAGTGCGAGGGCGAGTGTGAGCGTGAGCGTGAGTGTGGGTGTGGGTGTGGGTGTGGGTGTGGGCGTGATTTGAGTTCAAGGGCGCCACTGTGCCGGCGACTGTGTGCGTGTGTTAGTGCGAAAGTGTTAGAGTGAGTGCGCGAGTTCAAGGGTGAGTGCAAGGGTGTGTGTTTGTGTTTCTGAGAGTGTGTCTAAGAACGGTTGAAAGTAATTTTGCGTCCGTGAGTGGTTGCGAGAGTGAGTACGATAGTGTGTGAGGGTGAGAGGGCGGTTTTTAGTCCAGGTGCGAAAGCGGGTGTGAGTGCGAGTGTGAGTGCGAGTGTAAGTGCGAGGGTGCGTGCAAGTGCGTGTATGCGGGTGAATATTAGAGGAAGTACAAGGGTGCGTGTTTAGGTGAGTGTGAGGGTGAGAACGAGAGCAAGAGTTAGAGCAAGTGCGAGAGTGAATGTGAGTGTAAATATGATGGTGTAGGGTTTGGGGTGAGTGTGAGCTCGAGTGTGAGGGTAGTTCAAGGGTGAGTGCGAGGATGAGTGGGTGTGCGTGTGAGTGCAAGGCTGAGAGCAAGGTTCAAAAATACGACCGAATTTTTGAAAATTTACCGTAAAATACGGTATCGTATTTTACGGTCGTATTAAACGGTAAAATACGGTCAGACCTTGCATTTTTAGGTTCGTTCAAAAATACGGTCGTTTTTTACGGCCGAAATTTTTAAACCGAGATTTATGAGTTTCCGTGGGGCTCAGGAACATCCCCACAGAAGCTTAGACAGGTTCCGTGGCCATCTGTAATAGTCTAGGGTTGGGCTGAGGCCAATGTCGAGATCTGTGAAAGTGTATGGGGGGTTGGGTCTTGTAGATCCAGTGCGGTGACAAGTGGTAAGTGGCGACGAATTGGTTGGGACAGTGAGTCCCAACAATTTTGACGGGGAGGAAGGGGTGCCTGACTTAGGGTTCTCAGTTCATGGCGAATTCAAATTGACCACCGAAATCGCCGATCTGTGCAGAGCTATGGGCGAAATCGCCGATCTGTGCAGATCGGCGGGCGAAATTGCCGATATGCGCAGATCGACGGGCGAAATCGCCGATATGCGCAGATCGGCGGGCGAAATCGCCGGTATGCGCAGATCGGCGGGCGAAATCGCCGCAACCGATAGGGACCGCTTATAATGGTCTGAGTTTCGGGGGGGAGCGTCTTTTTAGGCCTGATAGTTAGCAATTTCTTTGATGTTCACATTCCTAGAAGTGGATGGTAGCAAGTCTGAAGTTTGATACTTTTTTTTTGCGGAGAAAAAAGCTCTAACAAAAAAACGGCAGAATTTTTTAAAATTGACCGTAAAATACGACAGTAAAAAACGGCCCGTATAATACGACAACCGTATTTTTTATCCTTGGCTGAGAGTGAGACTGCATGCAAGTGTGTGTCTTAGGGTGAATGCGAGAGCAAGTGCGAGTGTGAGTGCAAGGGTGCGTGTGAGTGTGCTTGCGTGCGCGTGTAAGTATTTGTGTTAGTATGATTGGGAATGAGAACGATTATGAGTGCGAGGGTAAGTGTTAGAGTGAACGTGTAGGTTTGTATGTGTGCTTCTGTGTCTGTGTCTAAGAAGTTGAGAGTATTTGTGCGTGTGTGAGATTGAGTCTAAGAGTGAGTGCGAACGTGAGTGTGAAGTTGAACTTGAGGGTGGCTTCAAGGCATGGCATCATGCTGGTGTCACGAATAATACCAAATTTCCTCTGAGCTGTCATTCATTGCTCATCTTTTTTTGTGTGCTTATTTCGTCTCTACTGTGTGAGCTGCATTCTTTGCTTTTGTTTTCTTTTGCAATGCAGTGAGGTGTACTCTTTGTTTTTTCTTTCTTATGCAGTGCGGGTGAGTTGTTTCCTGCTTGGCCTCCGCACATGAGTTGCATTCTCTGTTTACTGCTTTCTTGTACACAATGTGTGAACATCCTCTATTTTTGCTTTCTTGTGCAGTGCGTATCTTGCATTCTCTGTTTTTACTATGTGCAGGGTGCGTGAGCTGCATCCTTTCGGAGAAGGGAAATGAGGGAGGCAATGGGAGGGAGATGAGGGAGGGAGGGAGGGAGGGAGGGAGGGAGGGAGGGAGGGAGGGAGGGAGGGAGGGAGGGAGGGAGGGAGGGAGGGAGGGAGGGAGGGAGGGAGGGAGGGAGGGTGGGTGGGAGGGAGGGAGGGAGGGTGGGTGGGTGGGTGGGAGGGAGGGAGGGGTGTAGGGAGGGTAGGGGGTGATAAACTAGTGATAATTTTGTTAATAGCTGAATGTCATGATGGTTGTGTGTTGACTATCTGTATGTATCTGTGCTTGTTTGCGTGCATGTCAGTGTGTGCGTGTGTGTCAGTGTGTATGTGTGTGTGTGAGCATGTGTGAGATATGTATGTACAGTCGGGTTGTTTGTATCGTTCGTGTCTGTCTCAAGGCGTGTGCTGAAGTGCCTCGTGTATGCAACTCAGGTTGTGATCGCCGGTGGGGCAATAGCCTTAGCGTGCCAGACCAACCTTAGTTGCATCATCGATGCATTTTAGCATACTCCCCAAGACACTCATGGTAATTGTTATTTGTTGTCGTTGTTGTACCAGTACGATGTCGCATGTGATCGTTCGTGTTTGTTGTAAAGTGTCATGTTAAAGTGTGTCGGGTCTGCAATTGAGGTGGGGATCGTTGTTGGGGCAGCATTTGCTCGCCTTAGCATACCGGATCCATTGCTATCGTAGCACCGATGCATTTTATCATTTACTTTATGACATTTGCTGTTGTTGAGTGCTGTCGCTATGTTCCATGGATAGTATTTCAAACGAAGACGTAGGTGGAGGCCAAACGGCCTCCACCCCTGCTATATAGTGGGCGAAGAGCGTCTAGCACTTCGCCGTTGCCATTGCTGCATTACAAGCAGAATCGCTTTCAAAATACACATTTTTAGAAATTGTTATACACTTTCAAAAAATTTCATAAAACGTTAAAGCGAGTGCTTCAGGCGTTGGGAAAATGACAAATTGCATTGTTCATTTGAGTCGACCGAAAAAAGTGCTACCAAATGTAAAGGGGTTGCTACGCAACCCAAAAACGTCAGAAATTAGAAAGCTTGCTTTCTTGTCCTTTTAATTTGGCATCGTTCTCATTGCAGCTGGCTTATAACAACATATGCATCGTTTGTAAACACATGCTAGTACATGCAAATATTACTAGCTATGGAGTCATTCGTCCAAGCAGCTGTGGTCTTGTAGTTGGTCCGGGGTGGGTGGTGGCCCGGTGGGGATGTTGATTGAGCCGTTAGAAAACGAGAAACGTGGGTGGAGGGAATGAACTCCAACCCACGGATTTAGAAAGCTTGCTTTCTCTTACTTATCATTTGGCATCGTTCTCATTTCAACTGGGGGGGGGCATCGTTCTCATTTCAACTGGCAAATTACAACATGCACCTCGAGCTAGGAAACAGAAGTGCTAGTACATGTTACTGTACTGCGTATCAATCATTGTACTAGCGATTCATCATGCTACTTGATGTCTATCATGCTACAAGCTATCGATCTTCTCGTTCAAGCAGCGTCGATGATGCCCGTCAGTGTTGGGGCGGGGGGTGGGAGAGTTGCATGAGCCGTTGGAAAACGAGAGACGTGGGTGGAGGGAAATGAGCTCCAACCCACGATTTGTAGTTGGAGAAGGGCGTTTAGCGCGCTTCGACGATGCCAAAACATGCGTTACAAGCAGCTGCGCTTTCGAAATACGTAATTTTGAAAAACACTTCGTGTGTTTAAAAATTATAATATTTAGAAAGCTTGCTTTCTCTTACTTATCATTTGGCATCGTTCTCATTTCAACTGGGGTTCTTGAGACATGGGTAGCCGGGGCTTCCGATGACGGATGAGTGCCTCTGCGTGCTGTGCTGAGGACGGGGCATGATTCAGGTCCTGCAACTGGCGGGAGGCGTTGATGAGATGTTCGGCATTTGGCGTGACATACATCTCCTTGGCTGCGTCACTACGCCATCGGCCCAGCCGTTTGAAGATTCTGTCTGGCACGCCGGTGTTTGCCGCGGCAGTGGCTGCACCCTTGCGAAAGGAATGAGTGCCCAGCTGTTGTTCTCCAAGTCCGATCTTCCCAAAGGCCTCTTTGCACCAGTTTCGGATTGTCGGATACGACGGTGGCCTTGATTGGCCACCTTGGGTGGAACCATGACCGAAGGTGCGAATCAGCGGCCCCCTTGATTGCTGATCATATCCGGCGAGTCGAATGAGTCGTTGAGTGCCGCGGACAGGGCAGAACGGATCGTGTGTTGCGGCGATAGGTATCCATGTGCCTTTTCCAGCTTGGTCCGTCTTGGAGTACGGAATTAGGATCCACATGACCTCGTCGTCAAACTGGATGTCTTGCCACTCGATGGCGACGAGGTCTGAGTATCGCAGGAATCCGGAGTACATGAGAATGGGGATGAGCCCCTTTTGGAATTCGCCGGGGTTGTCAGATCGCAGGTATCCTGCCGACATGTCACGGACTTGTTGCAGCAAGACTGGC